AATGCAAAATTGAAAGAAATACGTCAAGTTGATATTGACCAAATTTTGACCGTATCACCCTTTAGCTAAGCAGGTGCTTTTTGTTATTTTGCATTTTTACGAGTTTGAAACCGTTTTTGAAGTAGGAATTCTCCAAGCAACCTTTGAATATGATTCATGAAGTATTTTTAGCGCTCATCAGTAATTTATATTGGTAAAACCCATTATGTATGTCCCTCAGAGCCAAATTGTTGTCCCTCGAAAGATGGCATCGCAGAACTCTCGCTGAGGTGTCGTCAAAGTTCCATCGAGATCGACAGCAATCTGAATTTAATCTAATCTAACACAAACGCAGCCAGTACGTGAAAGCATTCTGGAAAATGATTAGGTTAGATAACGCGTTAGGTTAGAAAAATGCGTGGACATACCGTACTAAACGCTTCGAGTTATGTAAGAGTGAATTTAACAATCATATGTAATGATTTATATAATACTAGCTGAGTGTGCCCGGTCTTGCTCGGGATTCAATATTAGCTTGAGTTTATGCGCCGATTTAAAAAAAAGCATGCTATATTGTACGTAGCCCCCCTCCCCTATTATCTAAGGGGCTACCCCCTATGATTATCTCCTTATACCCCCACACTCGCCCCACATGCCTAATTTGGTTCCATTTGCTTGATTAGTTCTGTTATTTAGTTATGCAGAAGGGGGAGGGGTCGCGAACCATCATAAGAACCTTCCACGGCCCAAAAACCCCTGTATACAAATTTTCACGCCAATCGGTTCAGTAGTTTCCGTAATAGTAATAGTAGTTTCTACAAGGGTCAGACAGACAGACAGACAGACAGACAGACAGACAGACAGACAGACAGACAGACAGACAGACAGACAGACAGACAGACAGACAGACAGACAGACAGACAGACAGACAGACAGACAGACAGACAGACAGACAGACAGACAGACAGACAGACAGACAGACAGACAGACAGACAGACAGACAGACAGACAGACAGACAGACAGACAGACAGACAGACAGACAGACAGACAGACAGACAGACAGACAGACAGACAGACAGACAGACAGACAGACAGACAGACAGACAGACAGACAGACAGACAGACAGACAGACAGACAGACAGACAGACAGACAGACAGACAGACAGACAGACAGACAGACAGACAGACAGACAGACAGACAGACAGACAGACAGACAGACAGACAGACAGACAGACAGACAGACAGACAGACAGACAGACAGACAGACAGACAGACAGACAGACAGACAGACAGACAGACAGACAGACAGACAGACAGACAGACAGACAGACAGACAGACAGACAGACAGACAGACAGACAGACAGACAGACAGACAGACAGACAGACAGACAGACAGACAGACAGACAGACAGACAGACAGACAGACAGACAGACAGACAGACAGACAGACAGACAGACAGACAGACAGACAGACAGACAGACAGACAGACAGACAGACAGACAGACAGACAGACAGACAGACAGACAGACAGACAGACAGACAGACAGACAGACAGACAGACAGACAGACAGACAGACAGACAGACAGACAGACAGACAGACAGACAGACAGACAGACAGACAGACAGACAGACAGACAGACAGACAGACAGACAGACAGACAGACAGACAGACAGACAGACAGACAGACAGACAGACAGACAGACAGACAGACAGACAGACAGACAGACAGACAGACAGACAGACAGACAGACAGACAGACAGACAGACAGACAGACAGACAGACAGACAGACAGACAGACAGACAGACAGACAGACAGACAGACAGACAGACAGACAGACAGACAGACAGACAGACAGACAGACAGACAGACAGACAGACAGACAGACAGACAGACAGACAGACAGACAGACAGACAGACAGACAGACAGACAGACAGACAGACAGACAGACAGACAGACAGACAGACAGACAGACAGACAGACAGACAGACAGACAGACAGACAGACAGACAGACAGACAGACAGACAGACAGACAGACAGACAGACAGACAGACAGACAGACAGACAGACAGACAGACAGACAGACAGACAGACAGACAGACAGACAGACAGACAGACAGACAGACAGACAGACAGACAGACAGACAGACAGACAGACAGACAGACAGACAGACAGACAGACAGACAGACAGACAGACAGACAGACAGACAGACAGACAGACAGACAGACAGACAGACAGACAGACAGACAGACAGACAGACAGACAGACAGACAGACAGACAGACAGACAGACAGACAGACAGACAGACAGACAGACAGACAGACAGACAGACAGACAGACAGACAGACAGACAGACAGACAGACAGACAGACAGACAGACAGACAGACAGACAGACAGACAGACAGACAGACAGACAGACAGACAGACAGACAGACAGACAGACAGACAGACAGACAGACAGACAGACAGACAGACAGACAGACAGACAGACAGACAGACAGACAGACAGACAGACAGACAGACAGACAGACAGACAGACAGACAGACAGACAGACAGACAGACAGACAGACAGACAGACAGACAGACAGACAGACAGACAGACAGACAGACAGACAGACAGACAGACAGACAGACAGACAGACAGACAGACAGACAGACAGACAGACAGACAGACAGACAGACAGACAGACAGACAGACAGACAGACAGACAGACAGACAGACAGACAGACAGACAGACAGACAGACAGACAGACGTGGATGTAAATTTGTTCGCTATTTTGCTATTTCACAATCGAGAGCGTGATCTGGTTGCAGCAGTTTGGATGTAATATTCATCAACTTTTTTTTTGTTTTGTAGATTTTCAAGAAACATCGTAGAACTTTCGAAAACATTCGTTGAAGTTTGGAAAGTTTCTAGAAGTGCAGCACATTTTACATAAGTTCAGCTGACTTGGTACAAGCTAATTGAACCTTCAGAAAACTTCAGAGAATTTTGTAGAACTTCATCGAAGATTGTTGAAAACTAGCAAACCTAAGAGAAATTTGATTTGTAGTAGAAATTAGGTGAACGATTTTTGAGTTCACGGATTTTTTTAAACTTCATTGAATTTTTAAAATTTCAGGGACTTGGTAGATGCTCAGAGGACCTCGAAACAATTAAGAAAATTTAATAAAAATTCGACGAATTTCGTAGAATTTCAGAGAATTTAAAAAAATCAGGGTTCTTTGTAAACATTTGGGAAAATTTCGTAGCATTGGGAAACTTCGTTGAAGTTAAGGGAACTTTGTTTAATTTTAGAAGCTTCATAAATGTTCTTGTTTTAGTTTCACGGTGCTTCGTTAAAGTTTAATGGACTTAAAATAGATCAGGAAATTCCGTATATATTCAGGAAACTTAGAAGAACTTCAGGGAACTTTGCAGAAAATCAAGGAAATTCTAAAACTTTCAGGGAACATTGTAGAAGTGCAGTGATCTTCATAGGAATTCTGAAAATATTGTAGAAGTCAAGTATATTACGTAGCAGTTCGTGGAACTTCGTTATTCTTCATATAAGTGCTGGGAACTTCTTTTTTTTTAAAGTTCAAGGAACTTCGTAGAAGTTTAGCCAAAATTGTAGAAGCTCAGCGAAATTTCGTAGAAGTTCAGGGAATTCCGCAGAAACTTAGGGAGTATTGTAAAAGTTTAGCATACTTCTTAGAACTTAATTTGGGATTTTTGTTTGGCCAAGTTTTTAAGGAAAATTCGTAGCAAAGGTTCAAGGTCTTTCTTGAAGTTTGAAGAAGATCATGGATGTATTAAGATCTTGGTCGAATTGAGTTAACTTGGAATACCAACTATTATGGAACTTAACTTGAAAGAGGTTGGTGGAACTTGGTAGAAGTTGAGAAAAATCAAACTGAACATTGCATTAGGTCCTAAGTAACATTGATCGATTCTCTTCGTCGACTTTCTCTTTCGTTAATAACTCGAGCACAAAATCGTTTCTTGTTGTGTTTGTCGTATTAGATGCTACACAGAAATTCAAAACAAGCCCAAAATTAAGTTCTTTTCACTCATCTCCCATGTTCCGTACAATAAGCCAAATTTGGGTAAACCGACTCAAAGTAGTTTGCATTTAAGCACGGCAAAAAAAATTACCCATCGCTAAGTAATTTTCAATTTTTTCTACCCAAAATTAAGTTCAATTAACTCAAATTTGGGTAGATCGCATATTACTCAATTTTGGCTTCTCGTACGGAACTAGACGGTTGAGTCGAATCTTTCGTTCTATTTTTGACAACAATAGCGAGAGGAAATGAAACGGGCAGAGGTCAAATAACTCAAATTTGAGTTTAAAAAACCCAAGCGGTGGGTAGTTTTGTTTTTCTGTGTAGATAAAAGCATCATTTATCGTTCTGTGTGCTGAAAATTCATGGGAATGTCTTTAAATGGCCGTGGGGATACAAAAAGAAAGTCGACGAAGAGAATCTGTCAATGTTACTTAGGACCCAATGCAATGTTCAGCTTGAAATGTTAAGAAGTAAAGATAAGGGAACTTTGTAGAAGCAATTGAAGCAATTTTTCCGCCCTCTGGAATTTTTTGATGGTTAATGCTGCTGAGCTCACACTACGGGACTTTTGTCACCTCACTAGTGACAGAGAGTCACACGACTCGCAGAATAAGGGGGTGTAGCTTAGAACGTCCAGTCTGAAAGATTTGCGAAGCTCTGCATAGCTGCTTAAAATACAGACGAATATTTACTTCGGAATCTATTCAACTTCAATTCGTTCATGAGTTTACACAAAACTTAAACAAATGTCCACCCTCTGTTTTGATTTGCCTCCACGTTGTGACAGTTAAATACTACATTGGGATTTTCGAAATTAGCATCTAGGGTAGATGTACCAGCTATGGCTATCCGTTCCTATTACGGTCCATGGGAATTCCACTTTTCATTCATACGACCCACATTGTCTAGCTTGAGGGAGAAGGCTTTCGAAGTTTCACTACCTATGCAAAACACCGTATTTCAGTTTTAAATAAAAAAATTGTTTAACACCTAATTTGACTACAACCTAAGATAACACAGATGAGAGTTGCTAACAATAATAAATACGAGGACTGTGACTGTACAAGTAGCGTGCTGCTGGCTCCGGAGCCGGGCACGCCGGGTTTCGCCGTCGGTTGCGGCTGCTGCTTCGGTTGCTGATTCGTGACCGTATACTGGGTGTTGCTTCGTCCGGTGGTGACCACTGGCGACGACGGGGTCGAGTTGGCCACCACGGACGGCGAGGAACTTTGCTGATCATTTCGATTGTTGTTGCTATTGTTGCTGTTATAACTCGACGTGGACGATCGTATCGTCGAGACTTCTGAGTACTTGTGTGTCGGCCGGCTGGACGGTTTGAACGTTTCCGGCACACTGCAGTGTGCGACCTTGTTCAGCTCCATGCCGAACCGGTGCGGATTGACGTCCCGTTGGCAGTGTTCGCCGGCTTCTTTGATGAAGATCTGCCGATCGGAGAGCATGGTACCTACGAAGCATTCGTAGGTACCGACGTCCCGTCGCTGGGTGTACGTGTAGACGATATTCCGATGGGTCCACTGTCCCAGGCATCGGTATTCCCGTTCTGTGAAAACAAAGGATAAGATTAGTTTGGCATCAAGTAAGCGGGGCCTTTGAATCTGCGCGCGTACCTTCGTAGACTTCATCGAACTCGCATGCTGAGATCTGATAGTACATAATGTCTGGCGAGCCGCACTCGGAAGAAAGTTTGGCGCACAGTCCTTCATCATCCGGAATAACGCCGGAGAATTCGCCAACAATCGGGCAGGGCGAAACGATGCTGTTGCTGTCCAATCGACCCTGGGTCAGCCACCGGTCGTCGTTGAAGTAGAATTCGTTGCAAATCGTACTGGTAAAGTTCGGCTCCGAGCGGGAGCTGATCTGGAACTCGAACACATTTTCGTCCCGTCGTTGGATCTTGAGGCATTGGTACTTTTCCTCACCGCTGAAATTGGGCAGGAAATTAAACTCCGATGAGTACATTACGTAAGGGTACTGCGCGTGCGAAAATGGGCGTTTGATTAATTTGACTTCCGAATCAATCAGCCACCAGCTTTCACCGCGGTAATTATTTTTTGTGAAAGAAAATAGTCTGCGGAAAAACGAAGATGGAAGAAAACAAAAAGCGATAATTACCACTGCGTTTGGCTGTAGACGATGTACTTGTCCGAATCGTGGTTGGTGTTGTTTTTGACGCACTTCATCGTGTACGTCTTGAACGAGGTGTGATCTTTGTAGATGAGTTGGTTCTGGCTGACGATCACGTGCTCCCATTTTCCGATCAACCAGTTCGGGAAGCTGCGCAGAGGAAGAAGTGAGAGTGAGGTTGTGGTATTGCGTGCGATTGGGATGGTGACGGAAAGAGGGACCTACCTGCAATGCTGGCTGATCTGTCCAAACTCCTGTGGAACTGGTTTCAGCGAGATGACTTCGCTGTGGTAGTCGCTGTTGATGTTATTGCCATAGGAGTTCGGACTGCGATGGTATTTGTTGATCGACCGGCAGGTCGAATCCTTGCTGAATGAGATCTCGATTTCTCCGGTCTTTGGGTTTTCGACCCAGGTGGCGCATCGGTATTTTGGCCCCAGCCGGGCATCGTTGTTCGTGTTGACCAGTGCGAGGAAGTTCTGCTGACGTAGACCTCGCCAATGGCCAAGGCATTCGAACGTGACTTCCTGATCGTGGAAGGCACAATTTCGGAAGCGGAGATTCAAGGCCGAACCGGACGGGCAGTTATCCACCTCGGATTCTTGCGACTCGCATTCAACTCGATCCTCGGTACCGTTGTCGATGTTGTAGGTCAGCTTATACCGACCGTGGATCGGGCAGTACTCCTGACGGACTTCGTCGTTGTTCCATTCACGGAATTCTGAAAATGGGGAAGAATGCTGTCAGCTCGTGTTTGGAAAATATGTACGCTCGTCGGAACTTACTGTATAGAATGATTTCGGTGCTCTTTTCTTCGTCCTGCAGGGCGTCGTCCTTCAGACAGGAAGCTAGGGCCTTCTCCTCGTTGGTGTGACACTTGGAGATGTAGTCGTTATCGGCCGTCAGTACCCGGAGGACATTTTTCGAGACCAGCTTTAGATGGAAGCACCGAAAGCAGTAGGCTTCTTCGGTGCCCGTCACCAGGACAACATTGTTGTCGTGCCGTTTGTGGCACATGCCCCAGATGGGGATCGCACTCTCGGTGATGTTGATCCGGCTGTACCGGACCGACCCGTCGGTCACTGTGTTCTGGGTTATGTATTCGCCCTGGTACTCGATCGGGAAGTAACAGGCAGCCGCTGGAAAGATTAGAAGAGAGCAAACGGTGTCGATTAAAGGTAATTGTTTCTAATTTTTGAAGAGTGAAATTTAATCTGTTTTGCTTGGAGGGAAGGTCGCGAAGGTGTAACCTCCTAGAAGATTACAGCTGCTTGTAGGTATTATGATGGGTAGCAAACAATGGACCCAGCAGGAAGGAATTTCATGCCTCACGGCGCCCAGTAGTGAGTAGTGTCAGATGGCTTAACCCGATGCGGTCTGCTAGAGGTGTTTTACCGTTTAGGAAAGGAAATTGCATTGCATCGATGATGCTCTTCGCGGTAGGGTGGCTACGAGGTACATAGTTGAATGAAAAGTTGCGGTAATCAAAGTAGGCGACGTCACGGCGCGCACTATGAGACACAAGAAATTAGTCACGGAACGTAGGTCGGTGTGTTAATTTCTTCACCACTCGGAAGGTGTGAACGAACCCTGGTTGGTCCGGGGCGGACTCCGGGACAGAAGGTGACAGGTGCTAACGAGTCAACTGAAAAGTGTTTCAGTTTCACAGCTTCCATGCTGCGAGCGGCAAAAGTCGTATTCCGTGTGGCAACTATGCGATGCAAGGAATTTGGATCGATCGCAGCTTTCTGACGGAGCGAGTGAGCAAAACACAAATATGAACTTTTGAAAGATCCATGTAGCGTGATTATTTCGAAACATCACATTATTTTTTTTTTTCGGTCGCCGGTCGGCTGGCTGGCCGCGGCCGTAAATGTTGGGCTCGTTTCTTGGAAAACAAACATGGTTTAGTCTGAACTTTTGAAGCCTTGTCAAAGGAATTGCGGCAAGGAGATGGAATGGGGAAAGACGTCTAGCGCGAGTGCCGACCGACCCTACAGCAGCAGGCCGCAGACCTCCAATCGTATGTCTCTGTGTGCTTTTTTCTGATTGTTATTCTCGGCGCGACTTCATGTATGGTGGTGATGGAGAGATACACCTCTGTGTTTTTATTTTCTGGCTCCGTCGTTGCTGGGTAGGTATTTTTTTGTTGTAGCTACATTACTCTCGAGGAGCGCCCACGCGAGAAATTCCATCCTCCAAAACGCGGGCGGTACTTGCTCATTTGTGTGTGCGTGTGTTACTTCAATTGAATTGCTCTTCCAAAATACGATCTACCGATCGAAGAAGGCCGAGTCCGGGGAGTAGGCTTACGATCCCTAGAAGTGTCTCCGCGATCAGTAGATGGCGACCCTGCCGGGTGGATAACTCCCGACAGCAAGATTGTTCCTTTTGTTGTTTTGCAAAACCTACGCGCATCTGACTCAAGAAAGACGAGTGCATACTTGAGTCACTGCGAGCGACGACCATCATGGCTCTTTCCCATCCATGTGGTGAAATATTGCCTCCCGGGCCAGACCGGTTCATTGTGAATCCCTCACGCACGGAGTAGGCCTTTGAGTGCGTTAGTCATCGCGTCGTCCCTCCTCGCCGCCGTCGCCGTTTTCGCTCCATGATGTGTGTATAATTAAATCTTCCGTCCGATGGGAATTTAATTAAAATCAAATCTACAGCTGCTTAGCAAGTTGCGCATCCATATAGTTAGAGCTGACCACCGGCCTAGATACGAGCCAAGTACGCAGCCCTGCGCCTTTTCTAATTACTGTGATTTTCGAATCTTCCTTCATCGCTCCGCTCGCGGGGAGCGGCTTGCTTAGATCAGGTGCTGCTGCTGCTGCTTGCCGCAGGGATCCCGTTACAACAGAAACTGCATCACGATCGCAGTAGCCTATTGGTGTAGAGTCGTTACCGTTTTCACTGTTTTGTAAAACAGTGCACTTTACACGGTCGTTACATCCCCTCCATCGCATCGCTAGGACCTGGCGCGGCGGCGCTTTCGCGCGCAGCGCAGAAGCTCAACTCATCAGCGATGTTGAACAGAGCGTTTTGCATGTAGCGATGTATGGTGTGCCAGTTCCTTGTGATTACACGGTTGCATGCAACTAGATCGCTGACTTTTTTTTTTAGTTTTGCTACTCTCCTGCTACATACTAGAGTAAAGAAGACGATAATGTGCACTCCATGAAGCATTTTGGGCGTCGTTTCCAGCTCGATGCACCGCGTTGAAGATGAAGATTGGCGCTGGAAGACAATCGCCGAGCTGCCTTATTGAAGGGCTAATTAGGAGAAAGAGATACTCTGTTGCGACTGCTGGCTATGGTCTCCGGTGCCGTGCACATTTGATGTGCTTATGATAATTGCGGCGGTTTCCTTTCACTAGTGCCGTGTGCGCTCAGAAGAAAAGGAGCACCTTGACTAGCAGGCAGAGATGCCAGATGGTTTTAGGAAAAGTATTCAACACGCCTACCGTCACTTTTTATCTTGGTGAGTGGGAGCCAGATGTGACAAGGAGAGGTGAATTCTCCCCTTCCCACCCTAAGTCCCGCTCCCGAAATATTTAGGATTATGAAAATTTCACAAGATCCGGAAGGGGACGAAAATAATGTACGGCTACAGATCGTATAGTAAAAAACAGACTGCGAAATACGAATCCAACATAGCCAAACGGACATATGTTTCGATTGTGGAGAGTATTGAAATCACTACACATTATTTCAACAATAACAAAATCAGAGATTTGTGTATTATGTTTTCAGAAGGTTTATTCAATAAATAACTTAAAAGCAATCTTTTGAATAAACGCGTAATTGTAAGACAATCGATTTTAGCTTGTTTTATGTTAAAAAGACAACGAGAAAGAAGTGCAGAAGTTCATGGAAGTTTAAACATTGTTGGGACAGCTCAATCAAATTTAGGGCAGTACAACAAGCTTCATGAGATGAGAACTGCATAAACTGTAGAGAAGTTTTGAGAACTTTAGGGAAGAAAAAAGAGCCTCACTGCAGTTCCATTAAAATTGGTGAATTTACATAAATTTTTCAGAAGTTTCGAGAACTTCAGCGAATTGTTAAAACTTTAGAGAAGTTCCATGATCTTACGAAAAATTGAAGAAATTTTAGGAAGTTCAAACAAGTTCAGGGAAGTTTAAAATTATGATGAGAAGTACTGGGAGGATCAAACTAGTTTTTCAAACTAAAAAAGAACTTTAAGGGGGGAGTACACTTTGATTTTTCAAAAAAAAAGCATTTTTTTGGCTTAAAATGTTCTTTGGGATGTATACTTTAATTTAGATCCAAGATTAGAATCCAAGTCCGCCAGAATATTCCTTACCGCTTTACGATGCGATTTCCTAAAGCATGTACCGGCGCGCTGAGAGAGCATTTTTTTTTATCTTTAAACGCGTTTATCTCGAAACGGAGTTTTTCAATCTGGCGTGGGAAATAACTCTAACCAGTTATCATCAAATTTGGATATCGCCTGGTTTTCTTATTCAGAATTAAATTCTGCTTAAAAATACGTATCCACATTTGCGATTTTGTCAAAAATGGATTTTTAATCCACGATTTTGTAAGCATTTTTAGGGTGAAAAAATGGACTTTTAATTCCTAAGGCCACAACTTTTGAAAAAAATAATTGAAAAAAAATCGGAATACGTATTTCTAACCCAAATTTCATTACTTATCAGGATTTTTGTTCGATTTATTTTGCAGGATCACATGAAAAGGAGTATTTTCCCACGCCGTTTTCCGACTTCCGCGCGAGGACGCCCGCGCGACCTGGTGCACCGGCCACGGGGAGACGCCAATCGAGTTCAAAAAAATACAAATTGTAGTTCGAAGGATGACTAATAAATGGGTTATAACATATTTGCCCTCCCTGAGTGTTTTATTGCTTAAAAAAATAACGAAAATGCCTTACTTTTTGAACGTTCAAAGTGTACTACCCCCTTAAGGCAGTTTCATTGACTTCAGAAAAAAATTCTGAAGATCTCAGAACAGTCCATTCCATATGCAACGGAGATTTCTCATGAAAATTTGCTTGAAGTTCTCCTCAGCATTCGCTTTGTATTCTCCCGAATTTCTCATGGAGTTATTCTAGAAATTCACTTGGAACGCTTCTCTGAATTTTCTTAAAAAATATAAACAGAATATACATAGAATAGTTTTTGCAATTCCATTGAAATATTCCACAAAATTTTGTTGGAACTATCCTCCGACTTCAATTTCCTTTGAATTTTCCTCGGACTTACCGTAAAATTCTTCTCAGCAAAAAATCCTTTGGAAAGATTTTCAGAATTTTCATTGAATTCATTTCATATTGCCTTTTGAATGTCTTTCCTTCCTACTCACATTGAAAGTCTCCTAAGAATTAATTTGCATTTCTCCTAACAAATTCCTTGGATTTCTCCAGATTTGTTTGGCAAACTCTCCTGAAATGCTTTTCCGAATTGCTTTGAAGATCTCCTGGATGGTTGGTTGTATTTGATTTAAAGCCAGACGCTGGTTCATCTCCGGCGATCTCTTGGAGTCATTCTCAGATTCAATTGTAATCCTCCTTTCAGCACTCCCCCTATTCTCCAAAAATACCAAGGACTTATGCTCCGGATTAGTTGTCTCCCAAACTCTTCAGAATTCCCTTGAAATTTTCCTCTGAAGTTCACAGGAGTACTTCTCCTCATAAATTCCTATGAGTTTTCATTAAAATTAACTTCGAATTCAATTCATGGTTTTCTTGAAATGTTAGTCAAATCTATCTCTGCTTACATGACATCCGAAATTCCTCAGAACTACATTGAAAGCAGATTGCATTTGATATTTTCTTAGATTATTTTTCCCAGAACTCCCTTGGAATGAGGTCCTTAGACATTATCTGAATCTGGATTTTTTTTAGATTATTTGTCACTGAAGATTTATCCACTCTGTATCTATAAAATTATTGAATTCTCTGAATAATGATGAGATTCCCTGAGACTTCCAGGTATTTTCAAGAAAAATCTAGGTTTTCCAGGTAGTAGACACTTTGCCTAATACCGTGGGTTTGATCATGAACTTTGTATTGAATCTTTCCCTTTAAAGGTTCATGTCGTACATAGAGTGTGGTCCACTTAGAATCCGGACACTTTATTTATTCTATAACAGCG